GGAGGTTTTCAGCATTTAAAAGGCGTCGAATTGAGTCGATTTTCACTTTATAAGATACCTCAGTAAGAAGGTCTTCGTGGGTAATACGTGGATTATTCGAGATAGCATCCAAAAGACGTACTTTGTCGGTGGCATCAAGCTTCTTTGGTCGACCAGAGCGAGGTTTCGTAACACCAGCACGCCGTTCGTGCTCTTTTTTAATTGTATACCGGATTGTAGAGAGAGAGATCCATGGGTACCGGTTATGAATGCGCTTATAACCCCAGTGAACAGCCGAGTGAAGCTCACATATCCTCTCTCTAAGAGCCGGGGTAAGCTCAGATCGAGCAGGCATTACTGGCAGCCTATAAAATAGGAATATTATAGGGGTATAGAGAGCAGAGAGAGGTAGAAAAACGCGAGATATACGCGCCATGGGCGAGCTTCACTAGCGCGTGATATAGAGCGGTGTAAACTATAATGGAAGGCGGTATATAGGTGGGGCCAAAGGGGGTGTTAAAACTTTTGCGTAGTGACTGTACATGTCATTTCAACTAATACATTTCATACAGTCAGATTTCTGTCATCTTGTTCTCTGTTGGAGTATCCTATTGTCGAACACCATCTTACAATACAGGGAAAACAGCCGGTATTGAGACTCCGGAAAATCTATGGACCGCCCAATGGTGGAAACAAAAGGGCGAATTGAGATTAGTCAGATTGTCCAGTGAAATTTCAGTTTTGAGTCATTTAAGTTAAGAGTTGTGCATTGATCGTACCATACCTTGTACACCGCAGTGGGCATTTACAAGAATTATATTATAACCCGCTCATAGAATAATTGGCCCAAATTGCAATGTCTCAAGATGCGATTTAATGGTAATTGGATCGTTGGAATTCACCATTAATAAATTAATGGAACAATTCCATGCACGAAGATGGAGTATTCCCATTATTAATCTCCTATTGGGCTAGCCCATGAAGTTTTTAATGAAAGATTAGCACAAAAGGTTATCTTACTTTCGTTATTCATTGGTTGGTCAGCAATCGAAACCAATCGGCTCAACCCCGGGTCCAGTGTGGCGTCCAACAGCGCCAAGCGACATATAAATGGCTGTCTTTCCAAGGCTGCGTGCAACCTAATTAGTATAACCAATCGGGGAAGACCCTCAAGTAGTTGTTAGCTCTCATAAGATTATTGTCATCAGCCATAGAAAAACAAATGGCACACGTAAGCTAATTTTAAGTGAATCTGATCCGGATCTCAGCTTGTGAGGAAGTTAAGGCGAGAAGATATGAACGGCTCTGGATGTCTACAACATAGCTGAGTACAGAAGATGAGTCAGACATGTACGAACAGAATCAGGTGAACTGTTCACATGTAAGATCCTACCCTATTATCACATCAGACACAAAGGCCTGACATATAAAATCGCATATTCAGTGGGCCCAGCTTAGGAGTTTCCACGGTTGATCTCCCTATCCCTGCACGGAGTTCTCCGTAAAAGGGCCTCATAGAGTCATGACTTGTGCGGAATCTTTGGTAGAAAATAAAATAATTCCGGTTCGCGTATCCACCCTGGGGCTAAGGCAAGACCAAGCATTTTATCACGCCTCATCTGTTTGGCAGTCTTGTAAACCCCATAATATAATTTAAAGAATTTGGACGGAGCAGATCCTCAATATCTAATTAGTTCTTCTAAAATTTAGCTATATAGCGTCAACGCTCTAGAGCTAGAAGTGAGACCGAATTGGCCCATAGGGTTCCAAAAGCCATTGATGCCTGACCTAACCTAAACAGGTCTCGGCCCCAATGCAGGCATCTGTCGCTCAACTCCGATCTCTGGCATGCCAAAAAAAAATTTAAAATTAACATAGGAGTAGACGCCTGGTCCCTGGTTGGCGCCAACGGCCTTGGCGGTCTCGAATCCAAGATCTATGCATCACGATAATGCTGGCAATATTCGGAACAAAAGCCAACGGCTTCAAGATGCAACTAACTCCAACAGAGCAAGGCGGTATAGATTAGTTTCTCGCGTGCGGGTCAGGGAAGGTGTTAGTGTGAATGACAGCGCAGTCGATCCGGCTGAAACCTGCCTAGGTGGACAGGGCAAAAGTGACATTGAGGAAGGAACAATGGAAAGACCATTGGCTCGGCGCAATTATCTCACTTTGGGCAGGAGCAAATATCCTGGAATTCCCCCCGCTTCGGGGGCTATCGTGATCCTTTCGGGGTATAAAGTCCTCCTTTGACCTTCAGTTTCAATTCTGCATACTTCTGACACTTCTTCGCAATGCTGCAAAGCACCACTCGGCTTATCCTTGATTCATGCAATGACTCGACTAATCTTCGAGATCTGGGTAGTCTGACCTCAGTGATTCTTCTAATATCTGCTTTGCTTTACAAAGTCCTGTATGTCCCAGTGGCATCCTCACCCCAAAGAGACTATTCCCCTCCACGCTTGCGACTACCTGACTGGAAGGTTACCCAGTTGTTCTTTGAGAAAAGGTTTGATTTCATCAAAGATGGCTTCAAGGCTACGTCATCTTCCATCTATCAGACCAGTCTGTTCAGACATACCGCCATCGTACTATCCGGGGATGAAGGCCGACAGATCTTCTTTAAGGAGAAGGGTCTCTGTTTATATGATACATTTTCAATCATGATGGGCAGTGTAAGGTCCCTGATCATTGAATTTGACCTCAGCAATAACTAATCTTTTGCATCTAGGGCGCTGCTCAATTTGACCCCCACCAAGTCAGCGGCGTAGTCAGACGCATGGCTTCCATCCAACGACCTGAGAAGCTCCAGAAATGTAAGTCTATGCCATTCTCGATAAGGCAGAACATTGACCAACATGCATGCAGTGATTTCAGTGATTCTGTCAGAATGTCAGCAGAAAATGGATGCATGGGACACCCAGCATATTCTGGACCCACGCTCTTCCCTTCATGAGGTGCGCGAATCTGAGTTCTAACTTTGGTGGATGGGAAACTGAGACATAATGCCTTCTCTTCAGGTCGCTTTTCAATTGGTCATGTGCATTGCTTCCTTTGATATCGCCAACGACCCGGTGCTTTCAGCTCGTCTCAAGTCACTTGTCGACACTGTTGACTCGATCACTAACCCATACTCGACTTGGTTCCCTTGGTTACCGGGTCCAGCCTTGTTCCACAAGTTCTTTGCTTCTGTTCAAATTTACAGGATTGTTCAAGCAGCCATTCAAGCCAGGAAGAGGAGCGGAATCAAGAGGGACGATATGCTGCAGCAGATGATTGATGAAGGAGATGGTACCATTCGAATCTTTGGGGTATGCATTCTTACCACATTTCGATTTCTACAACTCTTTCGATTGAGTATCTGACTTTATCTGAAGTGTGTGCTAGGGCTATCACTGGCCGGAGCTCGCGCCACTGGGACCATTGGTACTTTTGGCATTCAGCAACACCCCATCCAGTAAAGCTGACCGTTTTCCCCTCTAGTGACATGGCTGATCATGCATATTTCGTCGGACCCAACTTGGTCCTCGAATGTTCAAGAGGAGATCAAGACCTTCATATCCGCTCACACATCCTTATCAGCCTCTCTCTCTGGGAACGCCCTTATCCAAACCCTCTCAGATATCCCACTCGCAGCCTGGGAAACCCAGATGCCTAATCTCGACCTCTGTATACGTGAAACACTACGCACCTCACAGCCATACACAGCAGTGCGAAAGAACACCGGATCAGACCTTACAATCGGGCCATACGTCATCCCCTCGAGATCTCTCGTAGTGTATCCATTTTCGGATACAGCACTCAATCCGAAGTACTATCCGGATCCAACCCGCTGGGATCCATCTCGGGGAATTGAAAAAGAAACACCGTTTATTGGCTGGGGTGCCGGAGCGCACGCTTGCAAAGGCCAGCGACTTGCTACGTTGACTATGAAACTGGTGGTTGTTTATTCTTTGATGCGGTTTGATATTACGATGGTTGATGGGCAGGGCGAAAAGATCAATCATCTTCCCCTTCCGGACTGGAATGACTCCGCGACTTGTCGTCCAAAGGAGGAATGCGGAATCAAGTTCGTTAAGAAGTGATTTTGCCTGCCATCACACTCGAACCTCGCCGGTCTCGTTCCATTTCTTTTCCCCCGAACCGACGCTACCGAATGCAGTAGTGGCCGAACAAATCCTTTAGTTTCAGTTCTACGTTGAGTCCTACGTTGAGAATCGTTGTCTTTATGGTACTACTAGATAATATACCATTTGATTTTACGTCTATGTACGCAAACTAGATACAACTGTTCTGTCAATCATTGAATACCTGAAACGGTTAGCCACATGACTGGTGATGTAGAGCTTGACCATCTCCCATCCATCTTCTCTTCACCATAAAACTCGAAGGACATGGCCACAAGAACAATCTATCTCGTCTCTGCTCGCAATATATCCTTCCAAAGAACTCACGTCTCCATTTTTGTCCCATCAGCTAACAATCTCGACACTCCTCGAGGGAAAAATTAAACTAGCGGCGACACAAATTCCAACTCCCGGGATCAACCAGAACTTCATGGCACATAGTATCTACCTTTGGGGAAGATTGCAAGTTCTGGATTAAGCTCACGCACTCGAATTGCCAGGCGACCTATTAGCGGTGTCAAGAATGGACTATGGAAAATGTTCGCCATCTGATTGCCAAAGGCTTGATCGATGAAGAAGCGATTGAGATTGTTCAATCTAAACGGGATACACCCACTCATGGGATTGGACTGCGGTCTGTGAATAGACTTAGCACGTAGTATAGACGACCTAGAAAAAAAAAAAAAAAACAAGGTCCTTTCCTGCCGCTGTCAACCGCTCCCCGCATCCGCCCCGATAGCGAACCGCCATCGGATACTTTCCTTGCATACATGGAATGAACTTTCTGTAGAGATCCTATGTGCATTCCGATGTGCATTCCGATGGACAGGGCTCACGGTTCAGTGTCACAGCAGGAAAAGCCTGAATGCTTCCGAAGTGCGGGGTCTCCGCACATGCTATGTACACTGAATGCTATAAAGCAGCTGAGAATCATACACAAATGAGATTGTCTCTATCCTCAAGCCGTCTTACTTTACTAGACAACCACAATGCTCAGCAAAATCGCCCTCAAAGAAGCCTTCGCGCTGCCCCGATTGCACGAGAAGACGAAATGGTGGGCGGGCATGTTCGCAACCGACACAGACAAGCACACCGCAGAGATCAACGACGTCGGACCAATTCGACTCGACTTCGCCAAGCGCCATGGGGTCGGTCTTCAGATCCTCAACTATACAGCTCCAGGTGTACAGGACATCTGAGACGCAAAGGACGCGCAGGCGCTTGCCGTTGAGATCAACGACTACATCGCGGAGAAAGTGAAAGCACACCCGGATCAGTTTGCCGCATTTGCGTAAGTCGCAGGTCCCAAATCCCATATGGAAACCAACATATCCAGAATGGCCATGGTGCACAGCCGGCTAACTCACCCAGCACGCTCTCCATGCACGACCCGCAAGAAGCAGCAGCCGAGCTCCGTCGTTTCGTAACACAGCACGGGTTCCCGGGGGCACTTGTGAATGGCACGCAGCGCGCCGGTATCGATGGCGACGACCTGATTTTCTACGACAACGAGAAATGGGACGAGTTCGGGGCTACTTGCACGGAGCTGGACGTGCCGCTGTGCCTACACCCGCGCAACCCGACAGGCACGATCTACGACAAGCTGTGGGCTGATCGGAAATGGCTTGTTGGACCTCCGCTGTCGTTCGCGCATGGAGTCAGTCTGCATGTTCTCGGGATGGTGACGAACGGGGTGTTTGACCGGAACCCGAAGCTGCAGGTTATACTGGGACATTTGGGAGAGCACAGACCGTTTGATATGTGGCGGATTAATCACTGGTTTGAGGATTGGAAGAAGATGCTCGGACTTGGGGAGACGTGTGAGCGGACGATTCGGGAGTACTTTGCGGAGAATTTGTGGATTACGACGTCGAGACATTTCTCGACTACTACGTTGCACTTTTGTATGGCGGAGGTTGGGGCTGATCGGATTTTGTTCTCTATTGATTATCCGTTTGAGACGTTTGAGGATGCCTGTGAGTGGTTTGATTCGGCCGAGATGTCAGATCCGGATCGGTTGAAGATTGGAAGAGAGAATGCGAAGAAGCTGTTTAAGCTTGGAGTTTACAAGGATAGCACGGCTTGAGGTTACGGGAGGAGACAAAGTGGAATAAAATATCCACATTGAACTTCGTTATGTGTTTATGCGGTTGCTTGAAAAATTGCTTCTGGGGTATTTGAAACAGTAAAAAACAAATCGTAGAATCGTAGAGGTCAAAAAAGAGATTCCATACGGTGCCATGCACTTCCATGGTGGGTATTGGCTCTTCAATCGTTTAGATCGTGGCATATCGAGACAAAACCTGCTCAGCTAGCTTATGCCGATCCTTCTCGAGTGCTTGATATCGATCCCAGCAGTGCTCCCAGATCTCTGGCGAGTCACAAAGATGACCCATCATTGGCGTAAAATACTGTCGCTTAATCTCGAGAGTGAGCCAGGTTAAGGTACCGTAGCTTTCGATGCAGCTGTTCATCAGTTCCCAGATGACAAGGACACGACGCGAAAGCTTTGTGCGTGCGGGGCTAGGGTGCTGTTCATTCAACAGCTGACGGTTGCGCAGAAGGAAGAAAGGATAGTGGATCCATTCCTCATACATATCCATGTACAAAGCAAGCAGTCGTCGTTCATAGTTACGGGGCTTTTTCATGGTCCTGGTCATTGCGTATTAGAGGTGCTGAGGCAGAGGGTAGACAAGAGATAAGGGTGTCGGCACTTACTTGGCGAACACCGTCGCTATTTTGCAGAGGCGCTCGTAGGCTGAAGTAGCTTGCATAGAGACGTCCCCCAAGGTGTAAGAAACCTGATCGGCAGTCTGAATCTGCTCTCTGAGCATTTCTTCCATGAATTCGACGTGATTGAGAATGGTCTCAAGGTCAAGCACTGCATCCTCAATTTCTTTGAGAGCCAGAAACTCTGCGCTTTGGTGGAAGATGACGAGGTTGAACCGGAGAGTGGCGTTGATGATAGTAATGAATTGCTCTCGGACCTCAGGACGCACTTGCGGGTCAGCGAGAAGGTCTCGCAGCTGTTCGAGGATGACTTGGCTGCGGTGAGACGGGTCACTTTGGAAATATGGCACAATGTTTGGGTCGACATGGAGCATGCGGATCTCTTGCTGGGCAGCTCTGCCGAGAGCGTAGATCCATGCTTCCTCGTGGCGTCTGTCGGCTTCGATGGACGATGCAAGCATTTCACACTCGGACTCGTTGTATTCAGGGAATGGCTCAGTCTCTGTGTCTGCGGTATCTGCATTGGTAGGAGTGGTCGATCCAGATTCCTCCGATTCGGAGTCCATCGCGACTTGAGAGCGGACAACCGCGGGACGGGACCCTGCTGGGAGATCATCCATTTTGCGAAAATGGGACGAGTGCTGAGTTACATGAGAGGAAGAAGGGAGATGAAGGGGAGAGAGACGAGGTGCTCTTAAAATTAGAGAGACGGCTGCCATAATAATTTATTGATGTTATTGATAACGCACGCGCGTGACAATGGACAATGGACAATGGACAATGGGACCATAGGATAATCCGATTGACGAGACAATACAGGAATTTCCCGCTGCTCAATCCAAAAGCGCTAATAGGTCAGACTCAATGGTCAGAACGCTTCTTTAGAATTGAGCAGCGGACTGCCTTCCCCAAGAACGCTGCCCGATTAGGTGAAGTAGCGAATGACTTGAGAACAAGACGTTCTCCAGCCAATCATCTGCTTCTCAGGCAGAAAATCAAGAGTTATCGAAGGCAGCTATTGTTCTTCGCACATTGACTAATCGACGTCTCATGGAGCAGAGGAGGACGGCAACTTAAGTAGTGCGAGTTCATTGCTTAGAGCTATTCTTCCTTCATTCCAGCGTCGTCCGATACTGGGACGTCCATATCACTGTCCTCACCTGATAATGGGCCATCCATGACTCGTTCGCCAGCCTTTTCTAGCGTTCGTCTACTCCATGACCGAACACCTTTGTAGACAGCCTGTCTGCGGTTAGTTAAATCAGATTTAGTCAGCTGTGACTACACTTACCCAAAGGAAAGTACCGATGCCAACCATGACCACTAGCCAGTTCAACTGAGCGGCTCGGTTACGGCCAGAACTGCGCCCTGATGCGATAGACCGAAGGTTCCAAGGGAAAGGCGACAGCGCAAAAATTGCCTTAAGGAACGACAGTAGGCCCAAAGACGCGAGTCCTTTGAGGAAGTGTCCCAGCCAGGAGGCATCTTTCTCGACCAATTCGGTGTAAACATCCACGGGGCCCAAATAAAAATCAATGATGGGGTCAGCAATGAATCCAAGTAGGAATATGGTTAACAAAAGAATGCCAAGTGTGAGGATTAGCTGGGTAGTAGTGCTGCTAATCCAACGAGCCCAAGTCAGACGCTCTAGGCGATACTGAAAACCGCAGGTGGGACATTGCCAGAAGTTCCTTATCCCATATTTGGGGTCGGCATGGCGCCATGACTGCAAGCAACCCTCGTGAACATAACGCGAGGAACCTTTGCACTGGCAAGGGCTTAGCAGACGCCCGGATTCTGGATCGGAAGATTCATAAACCACTCGAGGCTTCTGGAGGAATTCTGAGGGTTGGAAAGTGGGCAGCACGCTTTCCAGGCAGATACGACAGACCCGTGGGGGGTAATACTGTGTGTTTGCCATTGAGTATCACATCGAAATTTACTCGAACCTTGACAAGAGAAGGGCCGAGGGGGATTTACTGTTTCGTTTTTGAGGTGCAAAAAAAGGAGCGACAAGAAGAAAAGGAAAAGCAGAAAAGCCGAAGGTGTCCCAAACCCCACGGCTAATCCCGAACGGGTCACCGCCTTTCGTGAGCTCTACCGCGCCTAACGTCACCCATCTCTGCCTACAACGCAGCTCCCTTTCTTTTGATTTTTCCATCCTCTCCTCTTCTCTTCCTATTGACAGCGAACCATGGCTGACAGATATTCATTTTCCTTGACTACATTCTCCCCCAGGTAAGGACGACTTGTCCTATGGAATTGACAACGTGCTAACTTAGCTCCACTTCAGCGGAAAGCTGGTGCAAATTGGTATGGACCATCGTCTCTGAGCTTAGGTATCAAGGACTGATCAATATAGAATATGCCCTGAACGCGGTCAACCAGGGTGTGACTGCCCTTGGCATCAAAGGTACGCAAACGCCCAAGTTCTCCCACATAGGGCCAAGCTGACCGCCCGTGATAGCTACGAACGGCATTGTGCTCGCGACTGAGAAGAAATCCTCCTCGCCTCTGATCGACCCTCCCTCGCTTTCCAAGATCTCACTGATCACGCCTGATATCGGTATGGTCTACGCCGGCATGGGCCCCGACTACCGGGTGCTGGTCGACAAAGCCCGTAAGGTCTCGCACACAGGCTACAAGCGCATCTACAACGAATATCCCCCTACTCGTATATTGGTTCAGGACGTCGCTCGGGTAGTGCAAGAAGCTACGCAATTCGGTGGTGTGCGGCCGTACGGTGTCAGTCTGTTGGTCGCAGGCTGGGACGAAGGCGTTGAGCCCGAGTCGGAAGAGGCTAAGAAGGATGACCCCGCAGAGAAGACCTCTAGCAAGACTGGTGGTATCCAGAAGGGTGGGCCCAGTCTGTATCAGGTCGACCCCAGTGGCAGCTACTACCCGTGGAAAGCGACGGCCATCGGTAAACACGCAACAAGCGCCAAGACATTCCTCGAGAAGCGGTACACTGAAGGACTAGAACTGGAAGACGCCATCCACATCGCGCTGTTGACGCTCAAGGAGACGATTGAGGGTGAGATGAATGGTGACACAATAGAAATCGGTAAGTTTGGAGATTCTGCCTCCTTTCCTCCCATTCTAGATGCTTGAGTATCTAAGGGCTTGGTGAACACCGACTCACATCGTTTCAGGCATTGTTGGCCCCCCAGCGGACCACCTGCTGGGCTTCGAGGGAGTGGAGGGAGCTCAGGGACCCCGGTTCCGCAAGTTGACCAAGGAGCAGATCGAGGACTACCTGACCAACCTATGAACGAGAACACATAATTTATGTAGACTCGAATGAAACGTTTCCTTTTTATCTGGCGGTGATTGACATTTTCTCATTACAAATCGCATGATTACCCACGGACGGCTACCCACTTAATGGTCTAATTTATGTCCCCTCCATGCTCCAAATCTTGATGGCAAAGCCAGGAGACGGTCCGATATCGAATACATCTACATTCCTCCCAACCACTCGCTCAGGCGGTCTTTCCAGTGGGACTTGAAGGCTCCGAAGGTTCAGTTTCAAGCTTGGTTCGACATCATTATCATGACATTCTACACCATCACGTTGCTAATGAAGCTGCCCTCCCAGACTCCAGAATAATCCTTCTCTGAACAACTTGGCCTCCGACCGGCGGAGACAAAAACTCCTTCGGCTCAGTTTGCTCAAAGGGCGCATCCTCACTGCGCTCCGGCGTCTCCGGTGGCCTCTGTATCGAGCAAAGAGGCAATGTATCGGCAATAGCAATGGAAATAGGATGTCTGGACCCCTGGATGAGATCCACTAGACGACCAAGCACAGCAAACTCAAGCTTGAGTTTGAGCGAGTAAATAAATCCCTTCAAGGTGATTTGCACGGCATAACAATCAGCGTATTCGAGACTCAAGAGCAGCAGATCCATCCCAATGATTGCGCAGTTGGTTCCAATCAGCTGATACATGATGCTCCGCGCATCCGGACGCGAAGACACGTCCGCCCCAAGACGCAGCAGCTTGACTGTCTCCATCACATACAGGGTCGACAGAAGACTCTCTTGAAACGTGAATCCAGTTAGCTGGATCTTCTCCATGACATTGTACCCGTTTACCCAAGCGGCGTCGCCGCTACGCACGATGTTCGCACCGTAAGTGAGTATCGTTGTGGGGAAATGTAGGAGAAAGACATTTGCAACGATGAGCTGCATTACACGGCGCAGCATACGCTCATCTCGTAGCACAAGGTGCAGTCGTGAGTAGAGCACCACGGATTGACCAGTAACCATGGTCCACCAGCCGATAGTCAGAACAGTGACTGATAGCACGGAGTCAGTTTGAGTAAAGAACTTCATCAGGAAGCCGATTGAATACGGTACAACGCCGAGGACCCCTGTGACAAGCAGGGACCAAAAATAGAGCCCGCGCCACCGGCGAAAGGTAGCTGGAACGAGTACAACGAGCTCAGCGACGTTGTAACATGATAATCCGATGAAAGTGACGAGGATCATCTGTAGTATTTCCCCCTCTTTCGCGAGGGCGCCAGATATCCCATCGAGCAGGTCCTGAGGAATGTCGGACATGATTATAGAAGAGACACATTTGAGACTTTGGGAGGAGCTATCTGAGCGACCGGACTCGAGGAGGGAGTCTGGATCACCCTGTTTGGTATACCCCCATATTCTTATCAGCAAACGGGGAAATGACAGAATTTTTAAAGAAAGAAAGAAAGAGAAAAAAAAAACACGCGAAAGGCGAATGTGTGAATGCAGTGTGGGATATGGACTGGTAGTACAGGGTTGGCAGAAAGTGTCAATGCTCTGCCATGCACGAGTTTTGGACTCATCCGAGTGAAAACAAACAAACAAACAAACAAAAGGACGTTTAGATGTCGTGTTTCAGAGGTTTCATGGGGGTTCACTCCAAAGGGGTCTTGGAAGTTTGGAATAACCCTGGAAGGGAGAGGCATTCGACTCGACCGTTTGGTCCAGCAGCAGAGAAGCCAAGAGGCCGAAAAGATTTTGCTAATTACTTATACAATAAAGGTGGGCATCGGAAAGGATTGGAAGGATTTGATTCTGGGGATTGTTGACTTGCGAGAAAAAAAGGACATAGTCTATAGACCAAATACTAAAAAAAGATGGAGGTTGAAAGAGATGCCAATCAAAGATACAAAAAAACACCACGGTATTCTCGAATCTCATCTTATGATGCGTATTAGCTCGTAGGTAGTCTAACCAATTCATGATTTCACGATGAATTCGTGTTCAAGGTTGCCTCTGCTGTCCAAGGGACATCTTCCTCGGAGTCTTCATCCTGGCTGTCGGCTACCTCCGCTACCTTCCGTTTCTTATTTGGTGTCTGCACAGGCTGCTCTGGTGACACCGGTTTGGGCAGTAGTAGGGTTGGAGACTTCAATTCCGAAGATGGTGGTACAGAAGACAGCACAGAGGATATAGGTGAAGGAGTCGGAGTAGGAGGATCATAGTATTCAAAGTCGGGAGGAGATTTTAGCAAGGGAGTCAGAGGCTCGGAGGGTAGAGATTCCTTCCCCGCCATTTCATAGAGCCCATCCTAGGCAGATTAGAAGCACAATCGGATGCAACAGACCAGAGATATCGACATACCGGTTCGATGCGAAATGCAACGAGTAGCTCCTCGGCTTGCTCGGGCAATGGCTTACCCGCACGCTTCTCAACCTCCGCGAATCGCTCATCCGGAAGGTCACGAAATATTGCAATGCGTGTTTGCACACTGGCCTCCCATGCGCTGCCCGACAAGAGCGGCTGCAGAACCGCGTGAGACTGAGGCTTGATCTTCGTATGGGATTGGTTGATAACCAACACGGCGATGTTTCTCGCGGCGAGTCTGGCCAGGTGAGTGGCTAGCTCGCTAGCAATGTTCCATTTGCGATTGAGCAACCATTGCAGATGTGCTTTATCGGTGATTTTGCCTTCGGTGAGCTGGTCCTTGAGCTCTTGAGCGCTGGGGAAGTAAGCTGGAAATAAATTGGACACAGAGTCGATGACAATGAGGTTTGTTTCCGGCGGGGGAAACCCCTTTGGTGGACGTCCAAGCAGGGCTATAAGATGGGCCAGCGTATGCGCCCGGAAATAGATAAAGTCGTCGAGGTTGATGGACATTTCCTCGAGCCGGGAACTGGGCACCGGAGATCCCGTATCTAACGGTGTGAGTAGGACAGCGCAACTGACTCGGGGAACTGGCAGGAACATACCGATCCAGACTACTTTGCCGTCGCGTAGCGCATGGTGTGCAATATTCAACCTGTAAATGGATCAGATCGAACTCTGGCGGTGTGGATAGGGGGGTGTGCACTCACGCCAGCGAGGTCTTCCCGGCTCCTGGGGGTCCGAAGATTTCCGTAACATGTCCATGCAGGATACCGCCTTGATTTGGCTGGTCTGGGAGGTCATTCAGAGCCTCGTCCAGACGCGCCAGGCCCGTCGTAATCGGGTCGCGGGTGGCGGCCGACGCGTTGAGGGATTGCGATGCTGAGATCGAAACCACGGGCGCTGGGGAATAGTTCAATTACTGTATCTTCTCCTGAAGAACTTGGAGAAATTACTTACGCGTGTCTTCATTGAACCCTTCAAGACCGTCGAGACCGAGAAGGTCCATGTTGATGCTCATGAGTGCATCAGGATGGCTGGCAGCAATGCCAATGCAAAACAAATTCAGTAGAAAAATAAGGAAAGAAATTCAAGCTCTATTCCTTTATTCAATCTCATCCATAAAAATGACAATCCAAATGCCATCATAAGCAGGGCAGTGGGATGACGGTTCGGATCTCCAAGAGTGGGATTCCCCCCCCCCTCCTCGATCTCGATCTCGATCTCGATCTCGAGGGCCTACATACTTCCCAACATGTCCTATATCGACATTTCCCTCGAGCATGGCGTTCTCCTAAATTTGACCATCCTTTTATTTCTATCTGTCATTTTCCTTGCTTGGAACACCCTCAACATCCCCATCAATCCTAAAAGGATGTCGTCGCCTAGGACTTCCGCCGGGCCAAAGCAACCTGGACGATGAGTTCGAGTCCAAGTACAGCTAGGGTCTACCCAGCAACCAAGATAATCACAGCCGCCCATACTGGCGTGTAAAGGCACTATTCAGTTACCCGCTCAAATCCTGTGGTGCGGTCGAGCTGCAAGTCTCAAAAGGTTGTACCCACCGGGCTTGAATTTGATCGATGATTCGTGTTTGCAGAGTATAACCAAGATGAATGGAACGTTCACACCCTGCGTAATGCAGGCTTCAATCGCCTAGCCTTGATCCATCCCGAGATCTGGGTTCCTGACCCATCTAGCCCAGACTACGGTAGACTGCTCCCAGCATCGTTACACGCATATCTAGGGTCCAACCCATCAAAAGACACCCTGATGCTCCTCCGCGCCAGTGCATCCCATTCGCGGCAAATCTTCCGTAACGCACCGCGCAAAGCAGACCTAGGCTTCCAGCCAAACACAGCCTTCGCAGACGCGTATCCAATCCACCTACTCAGCATCTCCAGTCACCGGGATATCGCAGCACGTTGCGCCTACGCAATTCCAAGACTGAGCATTCGTCACTTCCGCACCAACGTTCTCGTCCAAGGCCCGTCTGCTTTTGAGGAAGATTACTGGAAACGGCTTGCAATTGGGGGCACGGAGATTCACGCTTCTTGCCGGACTGTTCGGTGCCGATTGCCCAATGTTGATCCTCCTTCTGGGGATAGACATTTGGCTGAGCCAGATCGAACGCTGAAATCCTATCGGCGGATTGATGATGGGGATCGGACTAATGCATGTTTGGGAATGCAGCTTGTTCCCACGAAGGAGGAGTTTGTGCTTAGAGTTGGGGATTCTATTGAGGTTCTTGAGACCGGGTTGCATCAGTATCTTAAGATGCTAGCTCCTGGGGAGCAGGTTGAGGGGGTGTAGAAAAGTTCCACAATGATCTGTGTATGATCCTGTATTAGATATCATCAGAGTTGTATTTTAGGTCAAATGTTTTGAAAGAGACAGGGGCCATGATCTTCAGGCAGAACACGAGAAGGATTCCGGCACCAATATCTCCTAATTTGGACAGCTAAGATCCAACCTTGATAGGAGGTCTCCTGTCAAAGCTCTAGCAGGTACACTGGCCTTTCTCCGCTCTGCTCTGAGTGGGCCGAACCAGCACCACAGTGCTAAAGCTGGTGGAAATTATATGAGGCAACTAGTCAGCTAGTTAACTACCTAGGTCAATCGTGAAAGAGTGCAAGGGAAAAATCACAAGGGAATTTCAACCCAGAATCGCAAAATCGGTATTAAAAAAAACAACGCTAAGGACAAAGATGGCCCCACACACAAACTCCATTATGACCAGATGTGCGAGACCCACAAGATTAGGCGCTCTTTACATTCGGTAGCGACTGCTCTGGAATATTGATCTGTGCACGGCCATCATCAGAGTCAGTCGCCTCAAAGATGACTGGAACCTCATCAGGCTCGTCGGGAATGAAAAGGTTAAGAAAGATGCCGAGCAGCGCACAGATAGCGAACCCGTTCTCCATGACCAGATTGACAGCATTGATCAGACCTTCAAGGGCATGGTCATCACCCTTGTAGGTGAAGAAGTAGTTGAACCATTCTGGCAGGAGAGTGACACCCATTCCAATCGAGAAACTAGCCGTCAAGATGAATCGGTTGCGACGAGTGAATTCGACAGATCCAATGATGCGCAGACCACTGACTGCCACCGAACTGAAGAGGAAAGCGGTCATACCACCAAGAACGGGGCTGGGAATTGCAACCAGCGCAGCAGCGAACTTGGAGAAAATGCCCATGATAACCAAAAAGAAGCAGCAGCAGTAGCCGGCGGTGCGGTTAGCACATTTTGTCAGCGCAATCACACCGTTATTCTGCGCGAAAACGGACATGGGACTAATGGTCATCAAGCCGGCCAAGAGACAGGTGATGCCGTTCCCCAAGACACCGCCTTGGATGCGGGAATCGAAGGTATCACCCTCGACCTGGAGCCGGGAGACGTCACACGTCGCCGTGATATCACCAATAGACTCCATCATGATAACGATATAGAGCGCGAGCAGTGGCAGAATGAGCGGCGGGTACACGGACAGCGGGAAGGTGTGGACCCACGCGAAAGAAGCCACCGGTGCCGCAGCGATACCGGAAGATTCGAAGTAGTTACACGCGGCAGCGACGATTGAGCCAACCAACAGGCCAACAATGACAGAGCAACTCTTCAGAATGGGGGGACCCCACCGCTCACAGACGATGATCGTCACGAAGACCAGGAATCCCAGCCCAATGAACTCAGGGCTTCCCCAGGGTAGAGGGTGCGGGGCGTTGGCGCTAGGGCACAATGCGCGGGCGGAAGGGTCAGTACCACAGGATGCGCCACCGGCCCAGTCCTGCATAGCGGACTTGATGAGCGAGGCACCGATCAGGAGAACGGTTGGGCCGGTGACGAGTGGGGGGAAGACGCGGGCGAGAATCTTGCTGCTCATGAAGGACATGCCGATTTCGAGGAGGGAGCAGAGACATGAGGTGCCGAGGAGTGCGCCGTAGCCTTTTGGACAAGGCAGCTGGGTTCCATCTTCGAGAGAGGGGCAGTAACCCGATTTATACATTTGGGCGAAGGCACCTTGAGCAACTGTGATAGTTGAAAAAGATGTACCTATTTGAACCCAGCATCAGAAGCGGTGTTGGGGAAGAACGGAAGGGAGACTCTTACCAACGACTGATAGTAGTCCAGTTCCGATATAGTATTTTGTTCCCTTAACATGGAACCGGAACATTTGAACGGCACTCAACAGGCCCGAGACGATCAACGAAGTCGAAACCAGGTACTGGTAGAGCTCATCGCCGAAGTGTGCGCCGCCTGAGCCGCCGAGTAAAATAGGTGGTGAAATCACTGAATTCTCTTAGACGTTGTATTATATTTTAGGTGTCTCGGGTCCTCACCACCAGCCAGCATTGCCAGTGCATGCTGCAACCCCAGAATCAATGCGAGAACAACTGGCACACGATCCTCGAGACCAAAGAACGGGGCAGATTTGCGAGCTCGTTTGGTGAAAGGTAGTCGTGGGATAAAAAGGTATCCATAGTCGTAGTCGCCTAGTAAGCCCTCTCTGATGATTGTGAGTCAAGACCCTCTTCGCAACGCATCATTTGTACTCATACCGTGTGGTAAAAGTCTTGATGATATATCGGACTTTGTCGCTAATTGTGCGCTTGGGCGTATGATCGGGGCCGATCTGATCTGGACCGTCCATGTTGAATATCTAATATTCAATGAATCTTGAGACTGATCACACAGGGACAGAGAGTTTCATATTTAAAGAATTCCAAAAAATAAAAAAAGATACCCCGACCTTCAGTTACTCTAAAATTCAAGCCCGCAGATTCGGGGAGATGACTAAAATAGAGTCCACTCTCTGGAAATGATAACCCAGATTCTGATTAAAAACCAAATAAGGGGCAATTAGCAAGAGCATCGCATAACTTGTCGCTTGTCGGAAAATGGTTAGACCCGCCTTATCTAGACCGGAACTCCATTTTGAATGGAGCACGGAGGATCGACCTATCCACTTGGGCAAGTGGAGAAAGATAAGGGTATGAAGTTCTGTTCCAGAGTTCCCGATGTCCCCCCAGTGTGTTTCGAAACTGTCAGAGCTGTGTATCCACGGATAGGGGAGCCAATGCAAGACACCTCATTGGTGAAGAAGGATACCGGTAGTCTCCTATGTACGAAACGTGATCCTGCCACAACTCGGAAACGATCTGACGTTCTCTGCTATCTAGGAGTTTATCTAAGATCTGACAGTCGGAGGGTGCCGTCAACAAGTAGAGGAGGTGGAAGACTCCGACTTCAACCCAGGTTCACCTTATCAGCCTTTACTTACTGTGAGATTCAAAATTTTCTGGCGATAGTCATTTAAGATCAGAAGTTGTGATTGTCTCGATGGTTGACTTGTTCATGCGGTCATCCCTATATTGAGGTAGGACATGGCTGGGCGGATAACAACCTCGGTATAGTTTGGAGGCTCGGAAATCTGGCTTTGTTTCAGGAAAAGCATATTTCCACTGCAATGTGATTCGGACTTCACCTGCGACTATATTTTGTTGTCTTTCAGCAACGTTGAACTCAAAAAGATGTCCATGATACACCGTCTGCCCCCAACACCACATCCATCTCTCGTTTCTTGCCTGGCGACGTCATTCTAGATTCGCTTTTCATAGTGACATTTTTTCTTGTATCACCGCCGAGACACGCGTTGTTGAATCCTGATTTGTTTGGTATCGAGAAGACGGTGGCGAACACATGAGTTTCTTGTAGGAATGGAAACAATCGATCATAATTTGCTGAGATTCGGTTGAGGGTGTCCATGTTTCACACATTCCGTTGTACATCGTGTACATGCTGAACACGCATGCAATGACTTCATCTGTATGGACGATATCCAGTTCTCTCAACCATTCAGGGAAGGGGCCGGGGGAGAAACCCCGGGGTAGATCAGAAATGCAGACTGTAGGGAACACTGAGGTTGACCATTCTCCGTGCGTGTTGTTGCCTCCTTTTGAAAGATGATTGGACCGAACAGAATTATCCCTAGAAATCCCGATGTTCAATATACAACACCATCCTTTGGTGGGACCAACATCCACCCCAAGGAACCTGTACAACCCTGGATGGCTCCAAGGGTCTCTGCTGGGAACTGTCCTGACATAAACATATTTGCCATCGAGCGCTGATTGGTCAAATGCTGCCTGAGGCACCAAAGCGTTGGGGCTGGCTGGACCCAACATTCGCCAGAAAGCGATGAGGCACGCCACTCCCGATCCAAGAGCAGTGCAAAAAGTCTGCCAGCGCAAGCTTGAAAGGCCATTATTCCCTTTTTTCATCACTTTTTTTTACCTCGGGATCTTGTGACGCTCAATCTTTGCTTTCATGTGATTCGTCTATTAGCACTATTCCCCCCATATACGTTAGCGATCAGTGCCCAGGCAGTGCCCCGGCTCCCCAACGTTGGTCCCAAGTGGGCCCCAAGTATAAAAAAACCTCCTTCGGTCCTCCTGGACTGAACTTTCAACCTTCTACACACTCATCATGTCGTCCAAGCCGGATGCTTCACGCCCTCGAGCGGTTGACACCAAGAAGGTGCACATTGCCGATACTCAAATGACTCGTCAGAACTGGTACAAGCATGTCAACTGGCTGAACGTCACTTTCATCATCGGCATTCCCCTTGCGGGCTGTATCCAGGCTTTCTGGGTGCCTCTGCAGCTGAAGACTGCCATCTGGGCAGTCATCTATTACTTCTTCACTGGTCTGGGAATCACGGCTGGTAAGTAGTTCAGAATTGAACTGAACACAGAAGAACATCAGCTGACTCTCCATTTGTCAGGATACCATCGTCTCTGGGCTCACTGCTCTTATTCCGCTACTTTGCCTATGCGTATCTGGCTCGCTCTGGTCGGCGGCGGTGCTGTCGAGGGCTCCATCCGCTGGTGGTCTCGTGACCACCGTGCTCACCACCGTTACACCGACACCGATAAGGACCCTTATTCCGTGCGTAAGGGTTTTCTGTACTCTCACCTGGGATGGATGGTCATGAAGCAGAACCCCAAGCGGATTGGTCGCACTGACATCACTGATCTGAACGAAGACCCCGTTGTTGTCTGGCAGCACCGCAATTACATCAAGGTCGTGCTCACTATGGGTCTCATCGTTCCCATGCTGGTCTCGGGTCTCGGCTGGGGTGACTGGTACGGTGGATTCGTGTACGCCGGTATTTTGCGCATCTTCTTCGTGCAACAGGCTACCTTCTGTGTCAATTCGCTGGCCCACTGGCTTGGTGATCAGCCCTTCGACGACCGCAACTCTCCCCGTGATCACGTCATCACCGCCCTGGTCACCCTCGGGGAGGGTTACCACAACTTCCACCATGAGTTCCCCTCCGACTACCGCAACGCCATCGAGTGGCACCAGTACGACCCTACCAAATGGACCATCTGGACCTGCAAGCAGCTCGGCCTGGCCTACGACTTGAAACAGTTCCGCTCCAACGAGATTGAGAAGGGCCGCGTCCAGCAGCTGCAGAAGAAGATCGACCAGAAGCGCGCTAAGCTCGACTGGGGTACACCTCTCGACCAGCTTCCCGTCATGGAGTGGGATGACTATGTCGAGCAGACCAAGAACGGCCGTGGCCTGATCTCCATTGCCGGCGTTGTTCACGATGTGACCGACTTCATCAAGGACCACCCTGGTGGCAAGGCGATGATCAAGTCCGGCATTGGCAAGGACGCGACCGCCCTGTTCAACGGTGGTGTTTACTACCACTCCAACGCTGCTCATAACTTGCTTTCCACCATGCGTGTCGGAGTCATCCGTGGCGGTGGTGAGGTTGAGATCTGGAAGCGTGCTCAGAAGGAGAACACCGAGTATGTGCGTGATGAGACAGGCCAGCGGATTATCCGGGCCGGTCAGCAGGTCACCAAGATGCCCGAGCCGATCCCCACTGCGGATGCAGCTTAAACTGAACTTGATGACATTTTTTCTTGCATTTGTGGTTTGGTCGGTGCTGGCGTTTTCTTCCTATCTTCCTTTGTTTCTTCAAAAGCGACCTGTGACACACTTCATAGATAATCATGAATTAGACACGAATTTTCATCCTTCAATGAAACTTTTTTTTGGGGCATCGAATCTTCATAGATGTACGTCGAATGTAGACTTGAAGTCGGCAGCTGTAGGTTTGTGTGAGCATTGAAGAAACTGCAAAGTGCGGGGCGCTCGGTCCATTTCACATGTCAATCCTTCGTACGAAGTCTGGTGTCCTCAGAACACCTTGTGTCATATACCCGATCTAATAGTCCATTTAGTTGTCGGATATCTAGTTAGTCTATGTTGTACACTGTCTTGAAACTAGGTTATTTCCAAGCAATCTTTTGCATTGGGGGGGTGTAGGCACAGGACAAGGCAAAATGCGTTGTCTTTCAACTTTCTGATTGTTATGACCAGCCATTTGAAAGGACCTACAAGTCATCTAGCCTTGCAAAGAATACTAGAATTCCAGAAATCTTTTAGAAGCAAGCCAAACATGTCAGGACGTTGCCGAAACAAATGCCAAGAAAGTGTAGATATCTGTCCCCGCAACCATCAGCTCACAGCTTCAGATCACCTGACAAGTTCACATCTCCCAAGTGTCCCCTTCTCCTTCACACCGCATCCGATTCCGCCCATCATTCCTTTCATCACTCGTCTCCATCTCCTCGTTGCCTTCTTAGCTATCCTCATCGTGGCGCCCTTCCTCCGTCTCCCCGCCCGCCTCTCATCTGCGCTGGGCCACTTACGTACCAACGTACCAATACGACTTTTGACGACCTCCAGCATGGCCCCCGCTCACCTCCGGACACCACCCCAGGCCCCGCCTATCTTTACCGCAACCCCGCAGTCACTGGTAGCTGATGCCGAGCGCTTGATCAAGAGTTCGCGTGCTATTCAGGATAAGGTGGTGGCGGAAATCAAACCCGAAGCCGCAACCTTTGCCAATGTTATCCGACCCCTCGCCCACGATGACAACCAGATGGGACTAGAGTCACATATCCTCGGATTTTATCAGGCTGTGTCAACCGACTCGAAGCTGCGGGATGCCTCGTCCAAGGCTGAAGAGCTGATGGATGAGTTCTTTATTGAGGCAGTCATGCGTGAGGATGTTTTTAGTTTGGTCGATGCCGTACTGCGCCGCAACGAGTCTCTCGATCCCGAGTCACGCCGTCTGTTGGAAAAGGAACACAAGGACTTTGTCCGTAACGGACTCGGCCTGCCCGCTGGCCCTCAGCGGCTCCGCTTCAAGGAGATCAAGAAGCGGCTGAGCCAGCTGAGCATTGAATTCCAAAAAAACCTAAACGAGGAGAACGGCGGCATTTGGTTCACGCCAGAGCAGCTAACTGGTGTGCCTAAGGATGTCCAAGATGGGCTGAAGAAGGGCGAAGGTGAGAACGCCGGCAAGCTCTGGCTGTCGTTCAAGTACCCGGATCTCTTCCCCACCATGAAATACGCCAGCGACCCCGAGACTCGCCGACAAGTCATGATCGCCAACGAGAACAAATGCAACCAGAATGTGCCACTATTCCGGGAATCCATTGTGCTCCGTGATGAGGCAGCCCGTCTGATCGGCTACCCCAACCACGCTGCCTTCCGTATTGAGGATAAGATGGCCAAGACCCCAGAGACCGTTAACAAGTTTTTGGGTGATCTTCGGGACAGACTGACCGCTGGCGGTAAGAAGGAGATACAGAAGTTGCTGGAGCTGAAGAACGCCACGGACCCCAAGGCCGATGGCCGCTATTACCTGTGGGACCACCGGTTCTATGACCGTCTCATGCTGGAAAAGGACTATTCGCTGGACCAGCAGCTTATTGCTGAGTGGTTCCCTCTGCAGACAACCATCGATGGCATGCTGAAAATCTTTGAGGAGCTCTTCGGTCTGGAGTTTGTTGAAATCGTCGGTGAGGACCGGGCAGCTATTGCCCCGACTGGACAGGGCAATGACATTGTCTGGCACGAAGATGTCCAAGTGTTCAGTGTGTGGAACGATGAGGGCGAGGGCAGTGGGTTCGTTGGATACCTCTACCTGGACCTGTTCCCTCGCGAGGGCAAGTATGGCCACGCAGCCAACTTCAACCTGCAGCCTGGCTTTGTTGACAAGGATGGTAACCGCCGATTCCCTGCCACCGCATTGGTGTGCAACTTCACCAAGCCCCAGCCTAAGAAGCCTAGTCTGCTGAAGCACGATGAGGTCGTGACCCTTTTCCACGAACTAGGCCACGGCATCCACGACCTGGTGTCCCGAACCATATACTCCCGCTTCCACGGCACAAGCACAGTGCGGGACTTTGTTGAGGCACCTAGCCAGATGTTGGAGAACTGGTGCTGGGAACCCTCGCAGTTGCGCTCTCTCAGCCGGCACTACTCAACCCTCTCCGCAGAGTACCTTGCTAGCTGGCAGGAAGCCCAACAGGGCAAGGCCACCAGCCAGCCGTCAGAGCGCATCCCCGATGACGTAATTGAGAACCTGATCCGCACTAAGCACGTCAACGACTCCCTGTTCAACCTGCGCCAGCTGCACTTCGGTATCTTCGACATGGCTGTGCACGAGCCCAAGACCCATGCTGACATTGAGGCTCTTCCTCTATCTGCGACATACAATCGTCTCCGCCAGGAGATTACCCAAATGGACGGACCGGAAGTTCAAGGTGCTGGCAGTGAGTGGGGCCACGGCGAGGCGACCTTCGGACATTTGATCGGAGGTTATGACGCTGGATACTACGGGTACCTGAGGTTAGTTAATAAGTTGTTATTGTCGGTTCGTCTAAATCGTTCAAATACTCATGATTTTGCTCTGCAGCTCCCAAGTCTACTCCACCGACATGTTCTACACCGTCTTCAAGGAGGATCCCATGAACAAGGCTGCTGGCCGTCGCTACCGCTACCAGGTTCTGGAGAAGGGTGGTAGCCAGGATGAGATGAAGACTCTGACTGAATTCCTAGGTCGTGAGCCTCAGACCGATGCATTCTATAAGGACCTGGGACTCGCATAAAGTGGCGCGTAGCGCTTGGAGCTGTCGGAGCTCATGGACGGCTCTATACTATACCTTTATTAACTCAAATCAGAGCTATAAGATTGCCTTCTTGATATCTTTTTTTATCGGGTATCAAGCTGCATATTTAAAACTCCACTAGTAGCTATGTACAACTGTCAACCATTGCGAACAACCTTGAAAGCTGTCCACAGCTGATATGCTGATAAGCACACCGCCTTTCATTTCTGCCGTAACTCAACAGCTCTCTTTTTCTTGACGGCCGCAATTTATGATTCTGGGATAAAGAATAGCACAGAGCCCCGGGTTAAACAATTTCACCCAATCACCAGTAAGTGCCTATTGAGATAACTACAGTAGAAAGATATTTTTGCCCCGAACCAGCGCAAAAGACTGACCGTGACCCCATTCAGCTCTCAACCAACTCGCATCACCGACATAGCAAGCAATCTGCCTGTGCGCATCAGCCATAGCTTCCCTGTCTCTGTCAAGCTAAAAGCCCAAGTCAATCATCAACCGCAATCCAAAGCTTCCAGCACCCAAAATGACAGACCAACGCCTCCCAATCCAAACTCAACACTGCCGCTTCTGCAATCACCTCCTGCTAGCAACAACACGCAACATAAGCACGCTCCCACGACGCGGTGGCGAAGGCAAAGATAAAGCGTTGATCCTACCACTTGAGCGCAAGGGCTCATCACACGGGGATGTGGAAGCCGATCTCGAAGAAGAGGCCAAGGCAACAGAAACACCGTCGCGCAAAGCAAGACGTGTCGCTTACCACACGACACTCCTCCTGGCAACTACAGTTCCAGACCGGCGAGCAACGGTTATCCGGCGCGAAGATGGGATTGAAAAGAGGATTCTTATAAGATGTGGGCGATGCAAGGTTGTTGTAGGGTATTATTTGGATCGGGTGCATTGGGGGTCTCCTGGGAATCGGGGAGCGGAGCCACAAGATGAAGAGGAGGAGGAGCGGCCGCCGGCTGTTTATCTTCTTCCTGGGGCTATCGTAGAGACCGAGAAGTTAGGGGGTGAGGGGGTTGGGGAGAGGGAATGGAGAGAGTGGGCTGTTTAGATGTGTGAGTTGACTATACTAGAGATGTACAATCTACGCAGGTAAGGTATGTAGACCTATGTCTGCTTGTTTTTTTTTTTTTAACAGAAGCTGATACCCCAGAGCAGAATAATACAATGTATTTGATGATAAAAACACACAAGACGAAGGTTCCAACACGCCGAATTTCAATCCCTCAAGCCAAAGCCATTTCCATATCGAACATTAATCATATCGGGGTATCAGTTGGCGAGGATAGTACGAACAAGATCTAGAGAGAGTTAGCAGATGCAATTAACATGTCCACTCTAGGCTCATATAGCATAGCAGACCTACCTGTGTAGTTAATCTCCCCGGAGCTGGTATCAACAGCCTTGAGCAGCTCATCGACTTCCTCATCAGACATCTTCTCGCCAAGATTGGTGAGAACTGCAAGTGCCAAATGTTAGCGCTATCCTTTTCCAACCGCATCCAAATTGCCCGAGGTAACACATACTGTAGCGCAGCTGTCCAACACCAATGAAACCAGTCATATCCTTGTCAAAGACCTGGAATCCACGACAATACTCCTCGGGCTCGCCTGGCTCACGGAAGCCACCGGGCCGGTTGAGGACTTTCAGGAAGGAGTCGAAGTCAACTAGACAGAAAGAGAGAGTGAGCCAGGGATTCCCCTATTTCATGGATGGTCCGACGCGACCGCGTCTACCAACCAATAACCTTATCAAAGAATCAAAACATACAATCACCACCGACAGACTTCTCCAAGTCACTGATCTCAGCCAGCGTAGGGTTCTGACCACAAGCGCGGAGCAGGTCACCGAGGAGCTCACCAGCGACACGGCCAGTACCACGGCGATCAAAGAGCGAGAACGCTTCCTTGTAGTTTGTAGAGGCCTGGTCGTGTTTATTAGCCATGATGAAGATGGAGAGCGGACGATGCTTTGATGACACAGTTGTAACGGAAGGGGGGAAATCGGGGGGGCAACTCCGCGGTTACATAGGCGGGAAGGGGCGGTTGGACCGCTTGAATAGGAAATCCATCAACAGGGTAGGAATCTGGGAACTCACCATTTTGGTTGGATATTTTGGAGATTGGAGATTGGAGATTGGAAACAAAAATGCGGATTAGGAGGTGGAAGTCGGGGGGGGGGGGAACTTGGTGTGGGTTCGGCGGTGGTTGTTAGGGCAACGCTATAGGGGTTGGATATGTTGTACTCTAGTTGTATGGTGCATACTTCACGGTGTCAGATCAGTGAACTCATCGAAACATAATCATTTGGTATATCTAAACACATCATACATGCTACGACTGCAGCTTTGCGATGCAGCTGTCCAGCAGCCGCGCCGCCTCCCCCAATAACTCCCATCGCGGTTTGGCAAAGGAGTCTCGGAGAATCATTAAGAGACCGAGACACTTGTTGCGCCCGTTCATGGCTTCCAATTCATTGGGTTCCTGGATTTCGCTCATACGATACAAAAATGCCTGCATATCGCGCTCTCGGTCGGCCACTGTCATGAGAATAGGAGGTGGACGTAAAGGTCCATCCAGCGCAAACCCATAGGTCCATACTACCAGCGCTGCGAAGTACATAACCCACGGCCGGTTTAACAGGTAGTCATCGCGTGCAGCATACTCCCCGGGATGGGTGGTCGGGTCTAAGAAACAGGCAGATAGGAACTTGAGCGCGTAGAATGTGGCATCCCGCGCCGAAGCTTTGGTCGCCCATTTCTCAGTCTTTTCTCGAGCAGCACCGTAGTCACGCGCTGTGATAGACCGGCCCATTAACCGGCCAGCACCTGCAAAGATCTGTAGATCGGCTATGTCGACATGGGAGCCCATATGAGCCAGCCCATGCAGCACGTTACGCGACTCAGATGTGGTCGACGGGCCGAGGGCTTCGTCAAAGTCGCGGCGCCAATTGTCAAATGCCCGGAGAAGTGCTGTCCGCCACTTGTCTCGTCCACCGAGAGTCTGGCCCACACCGAGCGAGCTAATCTGCAGGTCTCGCTGGTTGAGATGCCAGCAGACACTCAGCAAGCCCGACATGATAATAATTCGACCAAACGCGTTGGTCCGGACGGGCTGGCCGTTGAGTGTGCGCTTGAGGCCATCGAGGAACATAATTGGTCGCACACCGTGCGACTGCAGACTAGATTGCACACGAGCGACCTCAGCAGCGCTTGTTGCAGCCCACAGCGCCTCATCACAGGGCAATGGCAGCCGCAGTTCATGGGCCACCATTTTGGCTGAGTGACCGAACATAGTGGCATGAGTGGAGTCCAACACGAATGCGGCGAATGCTACACGTCGAGTCGCTTCGGCCTTGATCCAGGTTGCCCATGACTCGTCTTCTCCTTTGGTTTCCGGGGTAGCAAATGAAGAATTACCGATGAGTGAACTACCTCGACGCATAAGTGTAAGTGTTGTGTCGTGGTGGATATGTGCGCGTTCATGTAATGCGCGTGTGGAGAAAAGCTTCTCATAAACTTCCAGTAGTAATAGAGACCGAAACACCCATAGCTTAGCTGGTGGCCGAAAGTCCGCATCCATGAAGATTTCCCAACGCAAATGCCAGGCAATGAAGCTAGCCAATTCAGCCGCTGCTTCAGTGGCAGGCTGGCCGTGGATCTTATCCAATGTTGCCGCGCCAATTGCCATGATCGCTAGTAGTAATAGGTTCGGAGTACGATCAGCGCTAAATGTCGGCTGGTGCAATACTGGAAGTTGTGCATGGAAGTGGTACCAATAGGATCCAATATAGGTCTGCATCATGCGCAAGCTCAAGGCATGTCGGTCGTTGTTTAAATCCCCGTCCATCAGCGCATCTTTGCGTTTAGTACCCGTCGCATAAGCCGACTCATTGAACCGTGTTGACATCAAGTGCAGCAGCTCCTGACGCTTTTCCTCTGAGATGACAGCCGGTGATGCTCCCGAGTCCAGAATACTCGTCACGCTCATCGGATGCTGTGGAATCACCGAACAAAAATCGCCGTTGCTATATGCAGGCTCGTTCGTGTAGAACTGATTCTGAACAAGTGGTACCATGCCCAACGGCGCGAGCGGCTCGCTGAATAGCCACGCTGCAAAGTCGTCTGCCATGGCGAATGGTGATCGGTTATAGGTTTCCCCACCAAAAATCGGATAGGACATGGAGTCGACGTCGATGAGATTATCAGGCTGATCTAGCACCGCTGGGAAATCAGAGTATGGGTCCACTGGCATCTCGTTGCTATCCACTCTGGTGGTGAGGGGGTATGTTGTCACCGGAGGTTTGGGTTCCTCCGAGCCAACAAAGCATTCCGGTGCGGTGATAGTAGGCGAGGAAGGCGGAGAGTTTTTCGTGTCATTTTCGGTGAGATGGTCTCGTTTCTGGAGCTGGGAACCACTGGTGGTGTGACGTTCACGATGGCGCGTGCAGAGGTCCTGTCGTACGAAGGATCGGTAACAGTTGGGAAAGTCGCAGCGATAGATTTGTTTCGGAGTATGGTTGAGCGCATGGCGACTGAGGTGTTCGGCGCGAGAATAACTCTTCCCACAGCCTTCGAAGGTGCACTCAAACTTCCGATCGGAGAGAACTTTGCGACTGCGTCGCCGTCTCTTAGAAGGTTGACCGTCGGTCTCCATTCTTTATGCCATGGCACGATTATCCCTGGAAGATGGAGTCAGGAAAAATAAGTTTGAAAACGCAAGATGATCCAATAGAGAGTAGTAAATGAGTCCACGAAGCGCTAGAGAGGATTGTCCGGGGGAAGTGCGGAGATCTCGGTGGGGTTTCAAGATTGTGGTGGAGATGACTTGGGTAAGAAGCTGTACTTGAGGATATACATGTTGTTAACTATATTGTTAACTATGTAGTATTATACCCTTGGAATGAATTTATTCTAGTGGTTTTATTTTTTTTTTCTTTCTTTATCGATGGATTCTACCCAATCGTAGTAGTGAAACATACTGTCCAGGGTGGATTTCATGGTAAATCTGCTCTGTTATGTACCTACACCAACCCAGATGTATACCAGTGGAAAATCGATGCTCCGCAGATTCATTACTCGTAACCAAATGACCACACAGAAAGTGCGCCGCATCTCAATGCAGAAACGAGTCGCGACGATTGAAAACCTAGATACAGGTCGAGCTCGTACAACACCTGAATGGCAGCAATGTCAAAGCCAGGGAGGTTCTGGTCAGGCCGGCGTACCAGCAGGTCATTAATTATCACACCGAGTTCATGCCATCCCATCATGTATCGTACCATATGGCACGTCAATAGCAAAGAACGGACGCCTGATTTTGTGCAAATGCTTCCATGGGTTTCTTTTTTTGGGGGGGCGCTGATCAGCACCGAAGAAGAATTTACAGTTGACATTCTCATCCACTGAATCGGAATCGGGCGGCCTCCAGACGGCCAAGGCCATCGCGCGGGGCTACATTACGGCGACGATACGAGTTGGTAAAGTCTAGGTATGGTTAGAGGAGGCAATAATAAAACAAAGGTAGAGGGACTAACCTTGGAGGAGAACACGGATCTTGCGGGTCTCTCCTGACTGAACTTTGTCAGAGACATTCTTCAGCAGTCGCTCGGCTTCGCCGTGCTTCATCGTGCCACTTGGCAGCATCTGCAGTGTGGTCTGCAGCCATGCCCCGGTTTCCTGGGGGAGTAGTTCGAACATCGTCATCAGTACTCCCGACGCATCGGCGAAGCAATCACCTGGGAAAGTGAACATCATGCCCGTCAGCACACGCTGTGCCAAGGGCTGGCCTTGCGAGATAATCAGCGCCTTAACGGCCTCGCGAACCTCAGGTGGGGTGACGTAAGGCTGGCCTTCCGGACTGGTGAACTGGGAGACCATAGGCTTGTCAAATGCAAAGCCGAACAGATCCCGGTAGTAATGCAGTGTAGCGATGAGAGGGTCGAGTTGTTGAAGAGTGAGAGCACTGAGTGCGGCGGAGAAGATGGGAATGGCAAGGGATGAAGTTATGTACTTCTTGGGGTAGTATCGAACGGCGTTAGAGGAGAGACGGAAGAAGTCTTCAATCACATCTGGCAGATTTTGAGGGGGGAGGTCGTTCAAGATCCGCAAGAAAGCAATGGCCTGCTGTTCATAGAACTGGAAAACGGCATCGCTGGTGGCCTGGTCGACGTACTCAGCACCGTCGGAGAACTCACGTACGACCGCATCCGTAGCCCAAAGGAAGCAACCCTCGCGCGAGGCCTGGAATCCGTTTGCGATACTCTGGGCCAGAGTCGGCAAAAGAGGGATCATGCTAGTGCGGTAAGAAATGATCATGTATCGCCAGCATCGGCACACCCGCTCAAGAATAGGCGTAGAAGAAGTAAAGTTCATGACAATCGTGGTCATAATGGGTAGAATCTCGCCGCAGTATTTGACGGCTGGGTTTTCTTCCCCCGGTGCAAGAATCGGAGTCACCACTTGCACAAAGATAGTTATCAGCTGTAGATGATCGGCCACGGCTCGCTGGCCTTCTTCAGTCTGCGCATTATTGGCAAGGTTCATAATTCGGGCCATGATCGGGTCGCAGAACATCTTGTATGAATCGTAGATCTTCTCGTGGGGCTGCACGGAAACCACTGCGGCAACACCTTCAGTGACTTCCTCCTGGCTGGTGGGCTTCAGTTTGTCAAGAACCGACTCGAAGAAAGCATGCAGCTGCGCGATATGACCACCAAGCAACTTCTGGCAGTCTGTTCCTAAAAATTTGAAGGCAAGAGCAGAGGCCTGTACAACTTCTTGGGAGGAATGGTGGAAACCAGAAATCACATAGTTGAGCTGGGCTTCCAATGTTTCGGGATGGAGAGCTGTCCATTCAGTGTAGCGTGCCAGCGCCATAATTGCCTGGAACCGCACTTTCTCCTGATCAGGAATCTGAACGATCAGAGGAATCAATTGTCCTAGTATGGTACTTTCTTCGGGGTCGACCATGCGACCCATTGCGCGGAGTCCAAACAGAGGGGCTTCGAGTTCCTGCCAATGAGGAACATGCTCGTTGCTTGCCTGCGACGCATACTTGGCAACCCATTGCTGGATCAGTTGGTAGATTTTAGCAAGACAGTCATTCACACCCACAACGGCACAGCAGTCCTTGAGGACATCGCCCATTGCATGACGGAATTGACGGAATTTTTCTTCTTGCTCACGGTCTCCAGAAAACAGATCCTCAGCCTCGCCGTCTTCTGGACTGGGAAACTCGAGGTGTTTCACCATGATATCCACCAACTGAGCGAAGACGGGTTGGAAGGCGACCCGAGCGTCGGTGTATCGGTCGAGAGTAATATACTGCTTCAGCTCGTACCAGAAGATGAAAGTCAAAGACACTGCATCGCGCTCCCAGTCCCGTGCGCAACATTCGAGAAGCGCCTCAACGAGACCATGGAACTCACCCGGCAGACGTGCAACAAGGACAACCCATGCTTCACCTGCCTCCGCAAACATTCTTGTGATTCCCTTGAAAGCCTCCAAATCTTCAGCCTCGGCAGTTTCGGCAATCTTTGGGCGAAGTGCCATCAATCGCGGATAAAGGGCCTGAATGACGGGCAGCGACTCGTCCACGTCCTTTGTGTCTCGGTAAAGCGTGCAAACGCAGTCGACACCGGCGTCGAAGGATACGTCGTTGTCCAATGCTTTGAAGATGACGTCCATGAGAGGCGACTCAACGACCTTGGCGGCGGGAATTTCACGTAGCCACGAAGTAACGCAGTCGAGGAGACGGGGATTGATCGCGGCAGCAGCTGTTTACGATTAGTTATGAATCCTAAGATGTTAGGAGGATGGATCGGGGTCGTTGGATACGTACGCGACGACTGAGCGTATTGGATCATCAGCTGCATCACCTGCTCCGCATTGTCTTCTAGCAGCTCCTTGGTTCTTTCGAACAATTCATCTTCCTTTTTAGATGTCAGCTTGAACCTTTGTAAACGCCAACACAGAAGCATACACTGAGATTGATTTTGCGACCCTCGGTGACTTCCTCGGGCAAGATCTTCAGGAACTCCAGCACACAATCCCCCGCGCTGCTTCCTAGAGCTGCTCCGACCGTCGCCAGCACATCCTTCCATGTGACCATCTGAATCGCTAAACTGGCCAAGCACACACATAGCTGGGTCTGAATGGGACGCGGGCCCGGCGCAAACGCAACCAACAGGTTTAAAATCGAGTCTCGCAGGGCCAATACTGAGTCCTGAGGGAGTTGGTCGAGATCGAATATAATCTGCGCAATTAGAGACAGCGAAAATAACCAGGTAGGGATACTCCTACTTTTCCTTTCAGAGTAGTTGCAGCGAATAGCTTGGCTTCAACCGGTACATCGGGGGACTGTAATAGAGCATGGGTTGTTGTCCAGGCCTCAATCTGTTGTTTTAAAGATCAGCGAACAAGACCAGTCAGTTCTAAGCAAAAGAATCGTACCGATTTCTGAAACTTTTCAAGGAATTCATGGGCTTGAGTCTTCTCAGTCCTAGACGCATTTGCTTGCATTGTCGCGACGGCCGCCAGGACCGGGGCGAATGCCTGCCCGGCTTCCTTGCTGGCCATGTTGAACTAAACAGATTAATCAAGGCTCAGCAGTGTATCAAAACTGAATCAGCATCTGACTGCGGAAACGGGTTTGAAGAGGGGGAGCAAGTTGATGGTGGGATGGGTCGTCCGTGACGAGATGACCGTATTACGGTTTACGGTAATCAAATCACGGGACAACTGCCAGGCCCGCCAGAGCTTTCTTCGCCTCGTCTCCCGTGTGACAGCTATCACTTTTGACAAAACCTCACATCATGGCAGGCCGCAAGACATTGTTAGCTCCGATTCACTGCATTTTCGGTTTCTTGCAGAAGCGCATCCCTGTTTCAGTCTGGCTGTATGAGCAGCTCGCTTTCCGGATAGAGGGAACGATCCGCGTATGTCTTTCTCAATGGGATCCCGTCTCAGTTGTTATCTAAGTTAACCTGGGCTAGGGCTTCGATGAGTTCATGAATCTGGTCATTGAAAATGCCGTCGAAGTGCGTCTGGCAACTAAGACAGAAGAGGAGAAGCGCAGGCCGCTCGGTACGATGAAATTCAGAATGAGATGAGAATACAGCTAACTGATGCGCAACAGGCCAGATTCTCCTCAAGGGAGACAACGTCTCTTTGATCCAGGCTATGTGAATTTTTGCTATTCCTTTTCTGTTTCAATTTGCACTACAACCTGCGGTCCAAGAATTGACCATCACCAACCACGATCGCATCTACCAACCAATCGTGCTCCACCACAGGTATATCTTCGGCAAGCAACTGATCCTGGAGAGAAAGGGCAACTACCATGGAGTTCAGTCGGGGATACACGGATTGTTTCTGGGACTACATACCGAGGAATGGCATTTTGCCGGTCGATGTTGAGTATCGCGTTAAAAAATGATCATAATACCCTTTGCCATGACCAAGTCGTCGGAACCCACGGTCGAAGGCCATGCCTGGCATGATAATAAGATCCAAACCCTGTGTCAACCCGTTCGGTCGACCTTCGATTTGCGTAGATAGGAGAGATGGGATTTCCCATTTGTCTAGCTGTAGTGACTCAAACTCGGACATGGATCCGAGCGCGAACATGTCCATGATGGATGTTTTGCCATGGGTGTGAATATACGGAATATAGACGTTCTTCCCACGCTGTAGAGCATCCTTAACGATTCCAGTTGTTGAGAGTTCCCCGCTTGGCATAGACAGGTATACGGCGATGCTTTTGGCGTTTTGGTACTCGGGCAGTGACAAGAAATTGGTCGTTGCCGCGCTGGCTAAGACAGATTAGCTATGGACAACGCAAAGACCGTCATTCGAATTGACATTGTTGACTTATTGAGGTTGCAGACAAACTCTGCAGAGTTGAACGCATCCTCTTGCGGAGGTCACGCTTCGCAGCTTGAAAGGCCATTCTGCTATGATAGTTGTAGATGGTTATGAATCACACGGGTAAATACACGCAAAGTATGTCCTCCGCGAAGAAGTAGGTTGATGTTCCAAATTCGGAACCCCAAAAAAAGACGCGAAAAAGAACGGTTCTGCCCGAGTTCGAACTGGGTTTGCAGTAACTCTTCTTCATAAACCATAGTGAAGACCTACCTTAGTGACAAACAGAAATGTTTTATGTCAATTGAGGCTCTTGCACGATAGAGAAGTAAAGAAAGAGAGAGAAACTATTCACAAATCTACATGGGCTTAAACCCGACCGGGGTAGCATGTTGTAGGACACAGGTCTACTCTTTTTGTTTTCAAAAAAACAAAATCACGCCTCTTTGCTATCAGCACACTAGCTTTATATCAGAAATATGATATTACGATCTGTCGAATACTATGGTGACCGCCAAATAAGACTTACCTGCCGACTTGGTAGATTGACCTTCTGTCCCCCCCCTCCCCCCCTCTCTCTCTCTCTCTCTTAGCTCG